GACTGGTTGTGAGACGATGTCTTTGAAGTTGGAGTTGTGGATTGCCTTCGAACATGCGCGTTTTCACGGGGTGTACTTTGTAGTTCCGTGTTCCGTTTCACCACAACCGAGTACAACCTAGCTCGATGATTCAACCTGTTCAATTCCAACGAGGAATTGATTCATTCGGTGGAAGTCAGTGTCATGTTCCTTAAGTGGCACTCGATGTCCGGTTACGACATCGATTTCAGATGAAATGTGAACGCGCCTGCAAATTGTGTAAGCCAAATCAGCCAATCGCAAGACTGCCGAGGTCGGACACGCAGAAACAGCTCCAGAGTGCAAGGAACTGTCGATATCACGCAAGACGCATCGGTCATGAATGAAGCAGTTGGTGGAGACGCCGACTGTCTGCAGACAAGGTGCCAGTTGACGCGAATGACTCAAGTCGGATGCGTTTTGCTGATCACCATCGAATGCCAAGCAGTCTTCCACCCTTGCCGACAAACCCTGCCACGAATCCGGTCACAATTTTAAATTCCGCCATTAATACTTGCTTTTTCCACATTTTAGACGGTACACCTACACGGCCTTCACAATCGAGGAGGAGGTGACAGTGGAGTAGCCAGTGGCACAACACCACCACCACCACCACCGCCACTACCACGACCGCATTTTATCACTTTTAGTATATTTACGTACACCTCGTTCACAACGTCACACCTGAACGCATTTAATTGTCAACAGGAAGCACTGCGTCACCCAGCATTTGTACATACACTCCGTCCCGAGTTATCGTTGCACCTCCACTTGAATAAACGCATTACTGCCTCCACGCCGCACACACACCCACCCACTCCTCCTGCCATGGGCTACCTTGCCAACAGGCTGTCTTGTTTTCGTCGTGGAGCCGAACGCCACTAGATTGTAGGCATCGACAGGATCCAGGCACTGTTCTCTCGGCAACAAGACAAACATTTGTAAGACAAACCATGAAGACCTCTGCGTCACGTGACGCTGTAATTGGCACGGCTTGGGTGAGTATGTGAGGTCATGACACCGAGCACCCCCCCACGTGACCAAGTAACGTGATTGGTCGGTGACGTAAGTGGACCTGAGTAACTCGAACGTTGGTAGGCCCAGCATTTCTGGCCATTTACCGAGAGTAAGAACCACTGCACCCTGATGTTTTGGTGTTGTTTGGGCGACCGTCGGTTCTTTTGAACATCGATTTTAGTTCGAAAAATTGAGTAATAAACTTTCAAAGAATAACGCTTAACAATGCTTTGCGAGATGATAAAATGATGATTAATTTGGCACACAAGAACAAACGACTGTAGTTCCTAACGAAGCTGGGTTTTAATGAAAATGTATGGAGGAAGAATGAGCTTATCGCATGCAAAATTAGCAAGATGTAATTTTTAAAAATTTGAGACAAATGCTAGTAGTAAAACCGTCAAATTTAAACTTAGATAAAAAAACTGTTTGTCTGGTTATATATTAGATATAATTTAAGGAAAAATATTTTTGATAGGCCCGTGCAAAATTAGAAATCCGACGTGGAAGGAGGCAAAATATTTGCTTTTGTAACAAAATCACCGTGCGTATTCAAATTCCGCAATCTAAAATGGCGGCCGGTAGACATTTATTACCAACATTTCATAGATTCAATTTCATTAAATGCTAAGGTTTTTAATGTTTCAATAAAACACAACAAATCAACAGGAAATTACCAAGGCGTAACTTTCGAATTTTACCTAGGTGAAAAAGTTGGAGTGATTAAATTTTTTTCCCTGAAACTAACATCGTCACGTGAATTATTTCGTTTCAAAAATCGAACCTATATTTTTACGCTAACAGCCACTCATTTGGGTAATCAGCCACATTAAACACCAGCATTATTGCACTTTTCGAGCTAAGGTAATACCACATATCCTGTATCCGTTCCGTGATTGGTCCAGTTCCGACCTTGGAGATGACTTTCGTCAATCGATTTTTGCTTGATCAGAAATTAAATCCCTGTTTGTTGCAGCGCGACAAGTATCCTCGTAGGATTGATGACAGAGTTTCCTCTATTAAAAGTAAAATTGCTATATTAGACACATCTCGCCAACAATTCATTTTGATTGGCAGCTAAGAATCTGCTTTCGCGAATTTTGCTTCAATTCCAACCCTCGCAAACAACTCTCCCTCGCGCGCGATAACTGGGTGGCGAATTTGAAGATGGTCGATAAGGCGAATGACAATTGCGGCGTGGTGGTAAGCGAGAGGGTGGTAACGACTGAACGTACATGCGAGTCCCGCATGCCAATAGTGAAGGCGCACCTGGAACAAGTGCGACGTCCGCAATCGCTGCACTGCCACCGCAACGCCCTCAGCTCCTCGGACTGGTCGTAATCGCAGAAGTCGCAGAGGCTGCCTTTGTGCACGAGGTCCTGAGCTGATGTGACCACGCGCCTGTCAACCTCGGCCTCGCTGCTCAGCAGCTCCATTTCCATGTTTCTGGAATGAAAGGAACGCCTTCAAGGGGACGACATTCCACACGACATCACTCCATTTCCAGGCAGATTACAAGACTAACGACATTTGAACACGAATCCCCCAGCTTTAACAATGGACACATTCATTAGCATAGCTCGGTTAGATTGGCAGAAAACATTTAGGTGTTATAAATCATTGTGTCCACTTGTCCTCCAACCGCAGTCTGATTTTGTAAATTTGGAGTGACCTGTAATCCCAAACAACGACACCACATATATGTGCTTGCGGTTTTAAGTTAATCGCTGCCAGAAATCGTTGTGTCCTTTGAGTCATCAGAAATATAAGCGTCCTGTGATCGGTTAGGCCATGGTTTGTTTTTGAAATCTAAACAACTCTCGACCAATAGGGAAAACCTGTGTGATGCTGTGGCAAGTTAACAAAGGCTAACGCATTCAACTGAATGCTTTTTACTCACCAATAATTATTAGCAGCACAGCACCGCAGAAGTTGTTAAGAATATGCGTGCACGCTACCAATAAACCAGCGCTCTCATTTCTAACCTCCTCCATTCCGCTACATTGTAAGGATTAATGACTACTATGCATGGAAGCATGTCACTTCGCGTTTGTGTCGTTGAGACAAGCCAGCTGTCCTCAACCGTGCTGATCCGAGTCAATTAAGCCCGTCATCGCATCCACCGCCACACTGATCACTCGATATTGTCTACTCACGCACCCTCCTGCGTGTCCAACCATTCAGACATTTGTACTTTCACGGGTTAATCCATTCTGTCTGGGTTGACAAGCCCATTTAGTCAGACTAGTGTTGCCCTTCGCAGTGGCGCGACAGACATATCAGAAGAACGTCGAGCTGTCCACTAAACTGTCGTCTGCCCGCCATCGTTTGTCTTCCACGTGTCCGCTGGGGTATCTCGGTTGCGTGGGCGCGCCAATCGAAATCAGGGGCCCCGACGTGGTGTGACACCACGCCCCGGGAACCTCAGCCGATCGATCACAGGACACACCTTACTTCACTCCGTCGATGTTCTAGGCACAGATCCACTCATTACAACAAGGACACATTCAGTCTCCAAAAATATACGAAAAAATGCGGCATCACAAATCAGGGAATCGGAGTGGAGCAGAGGGTCATAGGGGCCAATTAACGCAGCGCCTCCTGATTGGTTAAAGACTAGATGCTGTGGACTCGATCACAACCCAGACCACACGTTTAAATGGAAATGTCACTTGTGTTACACATGATTTTCAACACTTCATGGCTGATTAAAACCATGAGGCCGCTTCTGGAAGCATTGCGACACAGCACATTGGTCAGAATAATACGCGTTTCTGGTGCGTGATTGGCTCTGCTTCGACCTCGGAAGGCATTTAACGGGAGGTGAACAAGAGAGACATCAGCTGCCGGAACATCGCACTTTGGCATCGCAATTGGTCGGAGTCACAATCTACAGTCACTGCTTCGCCTTGCTGCCATGGAGGGTTGATTCTAGTCCACGACCCTCAAACCAACGACCGCAGAGCCAGGAATCAAATTCCACAGAATCATCTGACATCCAACTGAATGCGGACTTCCACGAAGCAAGAGTTACTCCGTTGACGTGCTCCCGAGAAGGCCAACAAGAATGTGACACTAGGTATCACCAAAACCTGGAAACAGCTTACAAAAATCCTCAGTACACTTTGGACATCACGCCGCCGTACCTTCCAACTACTGCACATTTCTCTGGCTTTTGAAAAACGTCTACGGTTGGTTCTGAAGTACGTCCAAAATACGCTGTGTTTAAGCCGATGCTTATAATTTGAAAGAAGATGCTGCGTTCTCAAGACCCGATATCGAATCTAAGGATTGCAACTCCATCAAACATAATGCTCCTTTCATTGGAAATCGATCAAGCGATCTCAAGTTGACAATCCCTACAAGAATGCAAACATTTACTAATCGGTTTTATTTCGACTTTATTCTATGACTGTTAACATGGCTAAAGTGAAGATTACACTTTGTCGTATTACACTGCAAGAACGTGTGTTGTTGTGCGCCGTCGTCGCTGTTGAGCACAACATCAATGGCTTCCATTACGCTTCACACGTCTGATCAGATCACAAAGAGGCATTTGAAGCGACATTGACTGTAATAAACAACCAAACACGTCGTCAGTTGACTCGGATCAGATTACGTCTAAATGGTCGAGTCGATCGCGCATTCGTTCAGCTTGATTGATGAGGATCCACACCCTATCGCTTCCGTCATATTTGACGCACCCACGTAATGCCTCATTGCCTGGAACGCGTCGCAAATTAAGAGCATTCAGTCACCCTAAACAGGCAATCAAATTAACTTTTCATGCTAGAGGGCTTCCGGTGAAGCCACGAGTTTTCATGTCCAAATTTACTCACCCACTTCCACCATTCGCCTTCAAATGAAATTCATTCATACATATTTCAGATTCACAAATCACTCATTTGGCAAACATTGCGATCTTCTCCAGATGGTTGGCTTCCCACGAAATCATAAATTTGCGTTACGTTACAAGTAAAATGCACTTTTAGATATGATGCGTTACATCAACTTGAACTGAGCATGCCACGATTAAAACAAGCGCCACGAGTTAAGCAAACGTGCTCCGGTGACTACTGAATCACACCGCGTTTCCTGGGTGTCAGAGTTATGGGTCGGCAACTCTATCTCTACGCGAGATGCTGCAGTTGCCATTGACACATCAACGATCCGAGTGTTGACTGTGATCCATTGCATGAAACTGCTGCATCATGAGTTCAAATCACACAATCTCGAATTCGTCCACATCTCATTCGATCAAGCGTCTTGGAGCGCATTTCAAATTAAAGTTACATCAGCCAATCCATTACCGCTGCTGCTGCTGCTACTACTGATGCCACCTTTACCCTCTTTGTATTCGAGAGTGCATAACTGTGCCTACCAACGTCCCCACCACATTACACTCATTCAACATTGCATGTTAACTCTCACACATTCGAACACACAAAATTGAAATATCTCAGCTAATTTAGGTGGCCCGTGTCTGCCTTCACTATGGCGACGATTATTCACTTTGAATGCAGCATTAATCATTCGTAATGCAAACCACCGTAAGGGAAGCGTCGGCGCGTCATCCAATTTGTTTCAATTAAATTTACAATCGAGGGTTCACAAGTCATGGTCGCCTTGTCGCATGCATCTCCAGTGTGCAACTATTCCGAAACAAGCAACGCAGGTGTCAGCACAAACACTAAGAGGCATCAATTATCGCATTGACAAACCAAACAGAACAGACAAGACATTCAGTGAGGCAGTTGCGAGGTGAGCCACAAACTCGCTGCCTCATCCAATCAAATTGCTTGTATGACGCCGCACAACTCGAAAATCGCTGATGCCATTAATGCATCCCCTGCACATGAATCCCTGAAGTAGCAATCGATCTGGTGAATTGAATTCAAGCTTGGCTGTGTGTAAGTTGGCGAAGTACAACTCCAATTGGTCAGGCTCAACTATCAGAAATCCACATATTCACCCACCACCAACACCACGACAGCCAGCGATGATGGTGATGATGTTGCCGTCGCTGCCGAATCCACTGACAACAGCCTCACTCAACGGCGGCAATCGCGCACTGTCGACACCCCTACACTGGCGGTCTGCGACAACCACACTAATCACTGCGTCACACAGCACGCTGAATGCACACGACGTGGTCAATGAACTGTTTGTGCCAGATACACCCAAGCTCTTGTTTCAGTGACTCCGTGTCCCATGCACTATGGACTGGTCTTCGGTGTTCAGAGAAGGCTTCGAGGAATCCAACTTACCCGCGGCTGCATCTCTCCAACCACTTTCGTCTGTAAAACCACGGATTCACTAGAATGAAGTCCATTCACTCAGCTATGCCCCCTCGCCACAAATGGAAGGTCACATGTGAAATAACAGGAATCGAACATAATTACACTTTCAAAAGTGGTCAAGTTCAACAAAAATATATTTTATCCATCAAATGTTTCCCACAACACACCAATCTGAGTAATTACTAATGACTGAATTGCGTGCCATGCAAATAGCCACCTTCGCTGCATGAGAACCAGAAAATAACCGACACACGCCTGCACCAAACATTTTAACCTAATGTGAAATGGACAACATGACTGCACCCAACGATGCGACGCCTCCTCCACCTCCACCTACTCCAAGGTGTGTAGGAGCATGTGGCGCCATGTGTGTTTCAATCGCAGTTTACCACAGTTCACGTCAACACACGGAAGATGATGATGAGCATGGTGACTAAATCAAGATCGTTCCATCGCGTACGTTTGGATGACATTGCGCCTGTTGGATCTGTCTCAGGCAACAATCAACAACCACTCGAGATGACTTCACGTAACACAAAGAAGCATTCGGTGTGTTTTGTACTCGATTGCTCTAAACCTCGACTACTTCTTGCCAGATATCGCTGGCCCTGTTAAAAATGGAGTTCACGGTAACAGTAATCAACGACTATCATGTTGCATGCGTTAATTAGAAGACGCTGCGATTGAAGTTATGCCAGTCAGGTATTTGTGACAAGCATCCCCATCACAATAAACTCGATTGTACTTTGAACGGAATGATTGTCGGCATTCATGGTATCAGCGTCTGCGACAGCAACAAACAAAAACCACGAATTTGCCTCCATCGTAGATGTGACAGTTCTGTTAAACGTTTTCTGCTGCAGTTTAGGCAGCAGGATTTTCCGTCCTCAATCGGAACGTCGTGTCGCGCATTTTCCAACGCCTGGAAACACTCGATTATTTTCCTTTCAAATGTGTGCAGAAAACGTTGAACACACGTCTGCAAGTGTGGGATTGTTATTGCCCATACAGGATAGGTTAAACTGCTTCCAAAGGAAATGGATGGAAGTCAGAGTGGGCAAATATTCGAGAGATCGAATTTGAACGAAGTCCCGCATTTTCAAAGTTTCAATTCAAAATTCCCCATTCTGCTTTCCCACCTCAATTCATGACCATTTATTAAACCACGTAGATTGTCAACCATCATGGACACGTGTTTCGCTAATTCGGTTAGTGTCATTCAAGTTTCAAGGGCAGAAGGAATCGTTTCGTTTCGTAAAATGTGGACAACAGCGACATCGGAGGTGTGCGTCGAAATGCGTCGTAAAAAATATCAACTTGCCTCCCATCTACAAGGACGGAATTACCCAACAGTTCGATTGAGCAGAAATCCCACTGTTAGAATCGATTCACGAGGGAAATTCAGTGCATTTGCACTGTGCTTGGCGATTTGCCAACGTGAAATCACATCCACGTTCTCAAGTACTTCGACAACCCGTCGAACTGCGCCTGCATCTGCAAAGTATTGCTCCTTAAGTGGAGCTTGAAATCCGCTCTGCGACGTTACACCCATGGAAACGTGGACGAGTTCAAGGCTGTCTGTTCCAACGACTTTACCGCGTAATTCCATTGTGAGATAACGGAAACTGACAGAAAACGCCGCGTGCCTAACTAGGCATCAGAGCACATGTACTTAAACTATACTGTTTGTGTTAATCGTTGCCTTTCCGAGGCAATTATTCAACTCAAAAAGTACATTCTAGGTGTGGTAGAAACGTGTAACAAAACTGGTCAGATATTTCGATTTGAGAAATTTTGGCCCACAAACGAGTAAGCTTGGTCAGCATCAGCGGAAGTTTTATAGGTGCCCTATTCATTGAGGAGACAAAATATTTACTTGTTGCGTTTTTAAAACGCGAATTCTAGTTTTATCAAAACAGATGTTTGGGTTCCCAGATAACCATAAAATTTTGTTTTATTACAACTCAGATGTACTTTTTTGAAACGTTACATTAGAAATTGCTTTGAATCTAGCAGGCAGTGATTAACACAACGAAGATTATTTGTACACATGTGCTCGAAAGATTATTTCAACTCTCCGCGTTTTCTGAGTGCAAATTCTCTTAAGCCAGATTAATGCCGTTCGGACAGGAAATATCGGAATTTCTCCAATTGAAAAAATCTGAGTTGACGTGCATTCTTGATATCCGATTTTTTTAACGCCGTTCCCGACGAGATCAGCATGTTTGGACCAGTTCAATAAATCTGATTGGATGACATGATACATTCTGACGCGCCCATTTGAGCCGGCAGCTGTGCGAATTAAACCAGCCAATCAATACTTCCCACCAATCAAATGGCTACACCACCGTCTACTCGTACTTAATTGGTTTCTATTCCGTGTTTTAGGTGATTGGCTAATAATTATATCCCATAAGTTGAAGTCGGTATTTTCGGCTTTTTAGTCCAACTTTGGTAGTGAATACAAGGTCGTGCACACTTTCAAAAGTGACATTTATCGTGAATTTCACTTGCATTTTAACCGTGCTCTCAGGTACCGGCGTCATGGCGGATCTACATATTGAGTAAGTTCCTCTACGCGCAATTGTGGTGCTCATTGAGAAATTGCGACGGAACACAGCAGGTCCAGAGCACAAACCGGTGCGTGCGAGATGAATGAAACGCCTCCTGTTGTCTTCGTAATAGCGCGCGCATGGCGTGCACTACGCGCGCACCAGCATCATCGATCGTGTTTCTGACCAATTGGCTAGGGCGACTGGACAGCCGCCCCACGGCGCTCACGCGCACACACTCACCGCGTTTGAGAGCACGTGTTGGGCAGGCGGACTAGGGGCAGCATGAAGTCCTACTGCCTAGACAAGAAGGCATACCTGTGATTCCTGCCACGCCTAGCCCGTGTCCGCGCTACTCATGGGAAATGAAACGAGCTATCAAGACCACCGCTTCCCCGTTCTGGCCTTCAAACGACTGCCAACAGGGCCAACACCGACGGACGCCTCATCGCTGCCCAGTACCCCGCGTCGGGAAGGCTTCATCAGACGTCAGGAGTCCTACCCGTCAGAGCCCGACTACACCGACAGCTCCGACAACTCCGTGGTGTATCGGAGACGCGCAGCTGGCGGTGGCAACTCCACGCATTGGCTACAGACCGTCCACGGTTCTGGAGGAACTCCTTCGAGCGAGAAGGGGTCTCTTCTGGACCTGCTGGTGAGGCGAATAAGTCGACAGAACTTGGCCTCTTCGTCCGATGACGACCAAGCCGGTGGGACCAAGGACATGTCCTCCGCCACGAGTTTACAGGACTCCGTCTGTGAGATTCTTGAATCCTCTCAGCAACTCAGTGAGGCGGAAAAAGAACAAATTAAACACGTGCTTAATCGAGTTAGACAGGTGGAGCACAGAGAGGCGGAACGCGTATCGTAAGTACTTTGGCCTACAACTAGCCCAGCGTTTAAACTACGTGGTTCGAATTGGTACAGCGCAGAATTTAAAATGTTTAAGGCAAAAACGAAACATTTTTTTTTAAATCTGCTTCTTCACTCGACATCAGACTGTGTGAATAATCACTGTAGGCATATGTGAAAGGGATGGAATGGGGTCATGTCCGGATGTTACTGTTTGTGTGTTCTCAAACTTGAAATAAAGTTTATTCGAACCGTTCTCCTGAAACACAAATGAGGAAAAATCAGACATTTTTTTCTTATTTTTTCAATTTTCGAAGTTGGAGTAGAATTCTGGCGGATAGTCATAGGATATTTGAGATTTTGAATTAGCTTAGCCTACGTAAAAAGGCTTATCTTATTCAGCAAATCGTCTTTGCGACAAAATCGTCTTGTCACGTGATCAGATGGTGATGTTTCGCAAGCTTTCCCGTCTGTGGGCCAAAATTCCTCAAATCGCAATATCTGACCAGTTTTGTTACACGTTTCTACCACACCTAGAATGTACTTTTTGAGTTGAATAATTGCCTCGGAAAGGCA